CACAACATACAAGACATGTTGACTCTCAGACCTAGAACCAGGACATGTGAGGGATTGCTAATCTCATGCCTGGCATTTTTGAAGGTGTGATTTTGACATACGCTTCTGCCAAACACCGGAGTTGACTCTCCTGCCTGGGCTTGGTTCACAAATAGAATGGTGATATATTGCTGGACCCAGCACCTAGGTGAGATGACTGTATTCTCAAGCCTTGGTGCCTCTTACAGGAGGCATTGGTACATATCGCTGGGACTTGCACTCAGGTGATGTAAGTTTTCTCTCCTACCTTGGCGCTGCACACAAGGGGCATTGTGACACGTTGCTCATTCTAACACTTAGGCGATGTGACTCTTCTGCCTGGGCACAGCCTAAAAAGGGGATTGTGATATCCCCCTGCACTCCTCACCCAGGTAATGTACTCTCATCTCTTGCCTGGAGGGATGGTGACATATTTCTGGGCTCAGCACCTAGCTAATGTGACACTTCTCTTCTTCCTAGGTTCTGCCCACAGGGGAGATTGTTACATATATCCTGGGCCCAGCTCCAAGATGTTACTCATTTGCCTTGGCCCTGTCTTCAGAAGGTAATGTGACCTATTGCTGGGCCCGGGACCAAGGTGATGTGACTTTCTTGCCTTGACTCTGTCAAAAAAGGGGGCATCTGTGGGTCCATAAATATTTGATGTGTCTTTCTTTTCTTACCAGGGTCTTGCTTATAGAAGAGATTGTTACATATCTCTGTTCCCAGCATCTAAGTGATGTAACTCTCCTCACCCGCCTGGGCCATTTCCACAGATGAAAAAGTGACTTATCCCTGGGCCAAGCACACAGGCAATCGGATTTATTTCTCCTAGTCTCTTTCTACAGGGGGCATTGCAAAGTATCTCTTAGCCCATCAACGATTTGATGTTAATCTCTTCTCTCACCTGGGCTTTGCCCATAGGGGATGTTGTAACATATCTCATGGGCCAGCATGTAGGAGATGACACTCTCCTCTGATTGTTACATATTGCTTTACTCAGCACTTACTTGATGTGACTCTCCTCTCATGCATCGTCCCTGCCCCTTGGGATGATTGTAACATATAGCTGGCTGTAGTCCCTAGGTTATGTCACTTTCCTCTTCTTCCTGATCCCTACCCACAGAAGGCATTGTGCCGTATCTCTGGGGCTCTCGCCTAGGTGATGTGGCTCTCCTGCTTTGGTCTTCCTCTCAGAAAGTATTGTGATGTATTGCTGAACCTAGAACCTAGGTGATGTGGCTCTCCTCCACTGTTTGGGCTCTGAACAAAAAGAGATTGTGACATATCACTAGGCCCAGCACCTAAGTGTTGTGGCTCTCTGCCCTCTCCTAGGCACTGCCTACATTGTGTATGTTGACATATGGCTGGATCCAAAACCAAAATAATGCAACTCTTTTGCATTGGCAACGTACACATGTGTATTACCATGTATCTTTTTTTTAGCTCTGAAATTGAGCTCTGAAATAATCTGGATCTTTGATCTTTGTGCCTATCTCTCCTATGGAGTTTAAACTTTAATCCAAAAGCCATGACAATAGTCATAATTACTGAATGCCACAAAGTGATAACATTTTTCCTCCTCCTCCTCCTCTTCTCTTTCTCTTTTCCATCTCCTCCTTTCCTCTTCCTCCTCCCACTCCTCTCCTCCTCCTCATTATCTCCTCTTTCTCCCCTTCACTTCCTCCTCTCCTCCTCCTTTTCTCCTCTCTCTTTCTCCTCTCCTTTTCTTCCTCTCATCTTTCTCTCCTCCTCCTCTCCTCTTCTCCTCCTCCATCTCCTACTCTCCTCCACCTCCCATTGTTTCCTCCTCCTCTCCTCCTCCTTCTTCTTCTCTTCTCCTCTCTTTTTCCTCCTCCTCCTCCTTTCCTTCTACTGCTTCTCTCCTCCTCCTCTTCCTCTCCTCCACCTCCTCGCCTTCTCCTTCTCCTCTCCTCCTCTCTTCTTTTTCCTCCTCCCCCTTCTCCTCCCCCTCCTCCTCTCATCCTCATCTCTTCCTCTCCTCCTACTCTCCTCTTCTTCTCCTCCTTCTCTCCTCCTTCTCTTATCATCTCCTCCTCCTTTTCTTCTTCTTCTCCTCTCCTCTCATTCTTCTTCTCTACTCCTCCTCCCCCTCCTCCTTCTCCTGTCCTCCTCGTCTGTTCCTCTCCTTTTCCTCCTCCTCCCTTCTCCTCTTCTCCTTCTCTTTTTCTCCTTCTTCTCCTTCCTGCTCCTCCTATTTCTCCTCTCTTCCCCCCTTATCCTCTCTACTTCCTCCTCCCCCTCCCCTCCTTTTCCTCCTCCTCCCTTTCTCTTCCTTCTCCTCTCCTCCTCCTTCTTTTTCTCTCCTCCTTTTCCTCCTTCTCTTGTTCTCCTCCTCTTTTCTCATCCTCCTCCCCCTAAACCTCTCCATCTCCCCTTCTCCTCCCCCTCCTACTCATCTTTTACTCCTCCTATTCTCCTCCTTCTCCTCTTCTTCTTTCCTTTTCTTCCTCCTTCTCCTCTTTCTACTCTTCTCCTCTTTTTTCCTCCTTATTTTTCTTCTCTCTTCCTCCTCCTTCTCCTATCTTTCTCCTTCTCCTTCCTCTCCTCTCTTCCTCTCCTCCTCCTTCCCCTTCTTTTCTCATCTCATCTTCCTCCTCCACTCCTCTTTCTCCTTTTCTCCTCTGCTCCTCTTCTTTTCCTCCTGCTCCTCCTACTCCTTCTTCTACTCTGTTCCTCCTCTCCTTTTCCTCCTCCTCCTCTCCTCCTTTTTCTCTCCTCCTCTTACTCTTCTTCTACATTCTTCCTCTTCCTCCTCCTTCTCCTCTCCTCCTCGTCTCTTCTTTTTTCTTTTCCTCCTCTCCTCCTCCTCCTTCTCCTCTCCTCCTCCTTCTTCTCTCTTTATTCTGCACTCCTTGTCCTCTCCTCCTCTGCCTTCTTTTTCTCTTACTGCTTCTCCTCTTCTCCTCCACCTCCTCCTTCTCTCCTACTTGTCCCTTTTTTCCTCCTGCACCTCCTCCTTTTCTTCTCTTCCTCCTTTTTGCCTTCTTCTCCTCTCCTCCTGCTCCTCCTCCTTCTCCTCTCCTCCTTCTTCTCCTCCTTCTTCTTTTGCCTTCCTCCTCTCCTCTTCCTGTCCTCCTTCTCCTCTGTTCCTCCTCTCCTCCTCTTTTTCTCTTCCTTCCTCTCCTCTCCTCCTCCACCTCCTTTTTCTCTTCTTCTACTCCTCCTTACTTTGTTCTTCACCTTTTTCCTTTTTCTCCTCCTCTCTTTCTCCTCTCCTCCTTTTCCTTCTCATTTCCTCTTCCTCTCCTTCTTCTTCTCCTCTCCTCCTCCCCCTCTCCACCTGCTCCTCCTTTTTCCTTTCCTCCTCTCCCCCTTCTTTTCCTCTCCTCCTCCTTCTCTGCTTCTTCTTCTGCTCCTTCTCTCCTCCCCCTCCCCTCCTTTTTTCTCCTCATCTCCTCCTCCTCCTTCTCCTATTTCCCTTCCTCTCCTCCACCTTCTCTCCTCCTCATCCTCTCCTTCTCCTCCTCCTTTCCTCTTCCCCTCCTCCTATTTTTTATCTTCTTCCTTCTCCTCTCCTCCTCCTCTTCCTCTCCTACTCTTTCTCCTCCTCCTTCTCCTCTCTTTCTCCCCCTCCTCTATTCTTCTTCTTCTGCTTTTTCTCCTCTTCTCCTTCTTTTCCCCTCTCCTCTGTGTCCTTCTCCTCTCCTCCTCCTTCTCCTTGTCCTCCTCTCCTTCTCCCCTTCTCCTCCTCATCTTTTCCTGCTCCTCCTCCTCCTTCTCTGTTCCTCCCTATTCTTTTCCTCTCCTTCTCCTATCTTCCTCCTCATTCTCCTCCTCTCCTCCTCTCCTCCTCCTTTATCTCTTCTCCTCTCCTCATCCTTCTTTTCCTCTCTTCCTCCTCCTTCTCTTCTTCTCCTCTCTCCTCCTCCTCCTTCTCTCTTCTTCCTCCTCCTTTTCCTTTTCTTTTTCTCCTCCTTCTCTGCTCCTTCTCCCCTTTCCTCCTCCTCATTTTTCTCCTCTCCTCCTCCTTCTTCTCTCCTCCTCCTTCTTCTCTCCTCCTCTTTGTCTCCTCCTTTTTCCCCCTCTTCCTCTCCTCCTCCTCCTCCTCTCTGTCTCCTCTCCTCCTTCTCATTTTCCTCTGATCCTCCTTTTCCTCCTCCTCCTCCTGTCATCCTTTGTCTCTCCGGCTTCCCCTTCTCTCCTCCTCCTCCCTTTTTTCTCCTCCTCTTCCCTTTTTTCCTCCCCTTCCTCCCTTTTTTCTCCTCCTCTCCTTCTCCTCTCCTCATCTTTCTTTTCTCTTCCTCCTCCTCTCCTCCTCCTCTTCCTTCTCTCCTCCTCCCAGCTTTGTATATCTCCTCATCTCTCCTGGTCCCCTTGTCCTCCTCTCCTCTTTATCTTCTCCTCTTCCTCTATTCTTACTATTTTCTCACTTTCGCCTCCTCTCCTGTTCTTCTTGTTTCCTGCTTCCTTTTTCTCTCTACATTTTCCTCTCTTCCTCCTCCTCTTTTTCCACTCCTTCACTCCTACTCCTCCTCTTTCTGAGCTACTGGCCATGTCAAGCAGCACCCAGCACATGTAGTGACGGTCTCTGCAGCGCTGCCCTAGAAAGACCTGATGTGCATCTATATTAGCTTGTGGAGGGTAGGAATCCGGCCCAACCCAGACGCCGAGTTTATTCATATATTTATTTATTCTATGAGAAAGGGTCTTGCTCTGTCACTCAGGCTGGAGTGCAGTGGCACAAGCTTATGACTCACTGTAATGTCAAGAGAGCCTCTCACCTCAGCCTCCCGAGTAGCTGGGATTGCAGGCGTGGCCCATCACCCCTGACTAAATGTCTTCCCTAGTGACGGGGTCTCACCACGTTGCCCAGGCTGGGCTGAAACTTCTGGACAAAAGTGCTTCTCCTGCCTTGGCCTCCCGGAACACTGGGGTGAATTTATTTGTTATAGAACCGCCAGGACTCAGATGGTGCAAGCCTCCCAGGCCAGAAACATCTTCCTGACACTGCTCCCCACCTTCTGCCCCCTCTCCCCTGGCATCCTTCCCCTATGGCAGGGAAGCCTGGCAACTAGGGCTCCTGCTTTCCCCTGCAGCCGCAAAGCATCAGGGGTGCTGGCCAGGAGGTGTCTTCCCGGGGTGCTCTCGGGAGGGTGTTTGGTGGAAGCGCCTGCCGAGCCCTGCTCTGCGGATTTGAAATTCCTGGGCAGAGGACACTGGCGTCCAGGGGGCAGCAGGCAGCCTTGCGCCCTGGCCCTTTCCTGGCTGGCGGTTTTGGTGTGGCCGACTACCACCTAAGGCCAGGTGGTAAAGAAGGGGGCCAGGGCCTTGCCATGGGGGCGCCTATCATTCCTGGTCCTTCTGTTGGCGGGGTGTGTGTTTTACAGGGATCCGTCAGTGTGGAGTGCACCTTCCTCGCGCGAGTAGGGGGTTCGGTGCCGGGTTCCATTGTGAGTCCAGGAAAAAGGCGGGTGGCGGTGGGGCTTCTCCCGCTGGAAAAATCTGTGGCTGTTTCCGGGGCACCTATGCCCCTTCCACACCAGCCTGCAACCTAGTGTCGCTTTCTCTGCCCCCAGCACCAGTCTCTGCCTGGGCCCCCCTCCCCCATCCCAGTCGCGTCTCTTAGGAAACTGCGACCCTAATGTTTGCTAAGGAGCACGGGAGGTCCTTCCCGTCGCCGATGCCCTCCCTCGGAAGCGGCGCGTTTTCTGAGCCGAGGGCACATCGAGGATGTCACTCACTCCCTGGCCAAGGGTGAGGACGGGACGCGGCGGCCGATCCCACTGCCTGGCGGGGCCGCTTCCTTTCCTGGCAGGGCGGAGACCTGCAGGGTGCTGGGACCCGGCCCGGCGAAGAACGCGCTGGCCAGTGGGTCGCTTGTCAGGCGCCCTGGGCACCTGGCGACCCTCGTCGGCGCTGCATCCATGAGAGGTTATAAATGAGGAGGAAAGTTATTTATTTATTTATTTATTTATTTATTTATTTATTTATTTATTTATTTTTCTGCTCAGCGGATTTGTCCTTCCTCTCTCCTTACTGGTTAGGAGATAGAACACGAGCCCAGATCCGGGCCAGCAGTTCACACTCCATTACAAAACTCTATAGAGCTTCGGAGCTAGCAGCAGTACACATTCGGGGAACATGGGAGGAATTTTCTTCTTCTTTTGTGGGTGGTGATGTTAGTGGTTGTGGAGAGAGAGAGAAGGGTGAATAAAATTGTAACGATTTGGTAGGTTGAAAAACCTGTCTGGGATTTTCATTATTAGAAAATTGAACCCTCGTTCTTGCTTAAGAGTTTAGACTCAAGCTTATCCCTTTCAAAGTCAGTGGAAACTAAGTTTGCCTGTTAGATGAGAATGCTGAAAACAGTGAGACACTTCCATCTGGAGGAAAAAAAATGATTTCTGCAAAGGCAGAGTTGCCAGACCATCCCCATATACTTGAGGGTTTTTTCCTTTTTTAGATATGTAGTGGTCCCTGCACCTGTGCACAATGATGCTGAAGCATATTTAATGAAGTGAAAGGTGAGGGAAAGGGAATTGCAAAGAGAAGAACGTGATTTTATTTTCATTTTTTCATGCCCGTGAAAAGTACTCTCTAGTTTTGATGCTTTTTCAGGTAGGCAGGTAGAATTTCTAAGCCATATTTTAATCAGGGAGTCTGTTAGAGGCCAAAGTCTTGGCTAAAACCTCTTTGGAAACACACACAAAAGAAACGCTTAGTTCTGTGGTACCTTCAAGAGTCGACAGAACTTTTGCAGGAATGGGTAGGAGTTCCTTCAAAAGGGTCTTGTGCTCCATTTCAGGTGAATGAAGTCGCACTGTTTATCATTTTTTAAAATACTGCTAAACTGCTTGCGTGTTAGGATATCTTGTTTTTAAAGGATGTTTGATAATTTTTAGAAATGCTACTAATGCTTATGGATATATGGAACATCATTCTCTGGGGTTGTCTAGATACCACTTTATTTCTCATCAGCAATTCAGACTGTAAGCCCTGAGCGTGGCAGACAGGTGTTTGTTATGTGATGTAAACATGCATCTCACTAAGCTGGTACAGGTGATACATTCATACCTAACTTGTTACACCATCCAAGTGACTGTTTGATTTTCTTGCAACTAAATGTTCCCATCTAGGGGAACATTTTTTTATTTTAAGTCACTTCAGGCAGACTCCTGAGGTCTTATTTGCATCTGAAACAGGCACAACATGTTGAAGGAAAAAAAATAAACCTTACCTTATTAGCCCTGCATTAGATCAATAGCTGTTAACTAACAACCTGGTGTATGCCAGGCACTGTACAACATGGGTACCCTGGTAATAAATGGCTGGTAATAAATGTAGTCAGAAGAACATCGTGGCTCAGGCCTATAGTCCTGGCACTTTGGGAGGCTGAGGCAGGCGAATAAACTGAGATCACCAGTTTGAGACTAGCGTTACCAGCATGGCGAAATCCCATCTCTACTAAAAATACAAAACCAGGCGTGGTGTCACATGCCTGTAATCACACCTATTTTGGGAGACTGAGGCAGGAGAATTGCTTGAACCCAGGAGGTGGAGGTTGCAGTGAGCTGAGATTGTGCCATTGCACTCACCCACTCACTCACTCACTCAATCAATCAATGTAGTTGCCCTTCATCAGGGGTCCTCAACACGGGAGCACTGACTGATACCAGTCTGTGGCCTGTTACAAACCAGGCTGCACAGCAGGAGGTGAATGGTGGGTGAGTGAGGCTTCAGCGTTATTCACAACCACTCCCCATCACTTGCATTACAGATCAGCAGCAGCATTAGATTTTTATAGGAGGGCAAACACTATTGTGACCTGCGCATGTGAGAGATGTAGGTCGCACACTATTTATGAGAATCTAATGCTTTAGGGTCTGTCACTGCCCCTCATCACCCCCAGATGGGAACATTTAGTTGTGGGATAATAATCCCAGGGTTCTCACTGATTCTACATTATGGTGAGTTGCTGAATTATTTCATTATGTATTACAATGCAATCATAATAGCAACAAAGTGGACAGTAAGCGTAATGCGCTTGACTCATCCCAAATGAAAACCATCCCGCCACATGTGCGGAAAAATTGTCTTCCGCAAAACCAGACCCTGGTGTCAAAAAGATTGGAAACTACTGTCCTACACTGTACAGTACCTGGCATACACCAGGTAGCCAAAAATTTCTTAGTGGGATTAATTAGATAGAACTTTTAAAAGCCGTATTTGTCTTTCCATAGCTTGCTTTGTATTCTTCTCTTTTTTCTCTTTTCTCAGAGACAACGGGGTAGGATTATATAAAATGTCTTATATTTCTGGTGGTTTAATTACTTAAAATATTCCTTATTCATTTTGGTGTACCTTCTTGGACTAAGTTATTTTCACTCTGCTTTGTCAAAAGAATTCAGCAAAGATTTCACATTTCTACTCAGAGCAAAACTATTAGAGTTGGGTGGGTATATTGACTCCTGTTATATCTGCTTTATGATCTACCCAAGGGCTGGCAATAAATGAAGCTCAGGATCCACAGTTCCTAACTACCGCTTAGCCCCATGGAACAGCTGCTTTATAGAGTCAGCTTGGTCTCAAAACTATGTAGCTTTAAATGTATACTGCTCATTTACCTCTGTGTATGTGTGTTGTTATTTTTAATAAAGAAGACCATTTTTTTTTTCAAAATAAATTCGGTTGATTTTGAAGGTATAAGGGAATTTAAAATGAAACTTTAGCCTTTGGTGGCATTACCGTTGATGAATATGATGACAGGCATCTTGTCAGTAGCTTTTCTACCTCATGGGGTTGTTGTAAGGATAATATAACTGTTCCAGAAACTCAAAACCTACATATGGAATAAAGTGGCATATTTTGAGATCAGGAGGTTTTGAGGGTATCCACTGTGGATTTCCTTTCCAGAATGATAAATTTTTTACTGTTTTGCTTTGGGAAAGGGGGAAAGGGTGCTACTGGCCTTTAGCGTACAGACACTAGAAATGCTGCTCCACATATTGCAATGCATAGGACAGCCCCAAATGTCAGGAGAGCTGAAGTCAAGGAAGCCTGCTTGAAGGTATAGTAGTGGCCTTTATTGCATCCACAAGCACACTGGGTACATTCCCTGTACTGCATGTGCTATATTTAGAAATCTGAAATTCCATAAAGTAGGTAAGCTTTTATCTGCCTCTAAGGTGCCATGGTTGGCAGGGTCAAAGTTTTACAAGCAGCTTGGGATTGAGGAAAACATGAAGTGCTGTTGAATGTATTTGAAAACTCCATAGTAAATAAGAGTTCTAGAACTCATCAGCTTCTACAACAAATGAGATGCATTGGCTCTGTAAAGCTGTTTTGGTAGGTGGCTCAGTTTTCCCAGTCACCGCCTCAGTTATTTAGGAAATTCGCTGTGATGTTGTCATCTGCCAGTCTTCCTCATGCTTTCAGTTATGTGGAGCGTATCTTTTAAAAAAATTCTTTGAATCAGCTCTTGTTTGCTTGACAGTTAATCTTTTTGCATTCATAGTCTCCCTTATTTTAATTTCTCAGTTTTTGCAAAATTCTTACATAACTATCTGCCCTTTTCATAGAGCAGTGTTTGTGAGCCAGGTCTTCTCTCCATACATGTCCTCTTGAGAGGGTGGATGTCAGCCAGCTGCTATGGCTGAGAGGGACGCAGATAATACAGGGATGCAATAAAGGAGAGTGATAATTTTTATGTTCTGGGATCCCAGGCCTCAGACCAGAACTGTCTAGTATAATGAAAGGAGTGATCTTTTAGCCAACCAGTGCCACTGGTCTGAACTTTGTCCTGCCCTCCCATGTTCCACCCTATTACACAAGCAGGAGGTATGCAAGGGAGAAGGCAGGAAGATAAGGAGACTGAATTCCAGAAAAGAAAGGGCTGCCTGCAGTAAGCAGACAGTTGCCCCCAAAGTGGTGTGGGCTCCCTCTTACCTTAGAGACATGTGCAACACTTGAGAATAGTTGTTTTAAGATTCTTAAATCAGTGGACAGAGTGAAAGCATCCCATTGGTGTCAGTGGCCAGGTGCCCAATGCCTGTTCTCTGCAGCAACCATCCAGTCCCGTACCTGGGAGTGAGTTCTGTTCCTACAGAATGCCCTGTGCATTCTGGTGTTTTTCTGCCCTTTCCTCTAACCTATAAACTGGCAACTCTAACAGTATATTTTCACTTACAACTTCTCTGAAGCTGTAATCTTTTGTCACCCAGATCACACTGCAAGTCCCTCATCCTGCAGGTACTTGTAAAAATGAAAGTAATCTCCATCTCTTCTGGAAGGTGATTGCCATGCACACGACCTACTAAACCAGGAACATTACTGCTGGCTGTCCTGATGCATGTCTATCTCACCCTGTGGCCAGTCAGTCACCCGGCTCTCCCCAAAACCATGCTTCCATCACTGACGTGGGCTGTTTAATCACTTCTGACCTAAGGCCCTCACTGAGGCATAAACACCTCTGAAGTTAATTTTCTGCCAGCAGTTTCTCCCTGCTGCTGTTGTTTTTCCACCCTGCTGCCAGAGTCGTCATCCTCAAACTCTAAAGCTGCTCTCGTTGATTGCCTACCTAATAACATTTCTTGGCTCCCTGTTGTCTATAAAAAGAAAAATCCAAACTCCTTAACGTGGTTTACAAAGACCTAATTTTCTGTTTCCAAACCCAATTTCTTTTCTTTCGTTCTTTTTTTTGTTTGTTTTCAGAGGGAGTCTTGCTCTGTCACCCAGGCTGAACTGCAGTTGCATGATCTCGGCTCACTGCAAACTCCACCTCCTGTGTTTAGGTGACCTCCTGCCTCAGCCTCTGGAGTAGCTGGGATTACAGGCACATGCCACCACACCCAGCTAATTTTTTTTTTTTTTTTTTTTTGAGATGGAGTCTTGCTCTGTCCCCCAGGCTGGAGTGCCCAGGCGCAATCTCAGCTCACTGCAAGCTCCGCCTCCCAGGTTCACAGCATTCTCCTGCTTCAGCCTCCCAAATAGCTGGGACTACAGGCGCCCGCCACCAAGCCGGCTAATTTTTTGTATTTTTAGTAAAGGCGGGGTTTTACCATGTTGGCCAGGATAGTCTCAAACTCCTGACC